CGTACGACGGACACATCGCAATGCGGCGCAATGTCGCAGGCGCCTGGTGTCCGTTCTCCATTCGTGCTACGTTTCGCGGTTGCATCGGTTGCATCATATTTTGCAAATCAACGTTCAATTCTACATAAAATATCAATTTTATTACGCGCGTGATTGATATACATAATGGACAATTCTGTAAGTAATGAAATATTTATATAAAAATAATTATTATTAAGATTAAATGATTAGGTTAAATTATAAATTGATTTGTTTTTTCACTTTTATGTATATCTCGTATATTATAATTGATAAATTATACGTTTTTAATATATTATAAATTGCATATTTAATTTAATTTTTTTTACTTTTGTTCAAGTATTGCATAGACTGTGGCGAATTGATGGAGAAAGATCACATATGCTATATCAATGAAAATTTAGAATTAAATAATGAGAATTGGGAATCATCCGAGATAGCTCATTCTGAAGATTTAAATATTGAAGAACTAATTAACGAGGTATTTCAAAGACCACCATTGTGGAATAGCAGTCTTCCATATGAAAATCGAGGACCAGCAACAATCAAATTTTTATGGTTGGAGATTGATGAAAAATTAAGTACGTTTTAAATTTTTTATGAAGAAGAACTTTTTATAATGTATAAAATTTTGATTTTTTTTACTAAATATACGAAAGCTCTTTATGGTCAAAGTTAGATGTTTGAATTAATATCTTAATATGTATTATATTAAATAAAATCTATGACTGCAGGTCGATCTGTAAAGGCATCTGTCCAGCAAGCGAGAGATCCGGGTTCAATTCTCAGCTGAAGTAATATTTTTTTGTAATAAGTTCTTTATAGATTTTAAATTAATTTGAGAGGATTATCAGAGTAATCTTAGATTGATTGTATTGCAAGTCTGATAGTAATTGATGTGTGCAGTCATATTTCTAAGATAAAATTTATTTATTCATATTGAGATTTCATTCAAACATCTAACTTTGACCATAATGGACTTTCATATTTAATTGATTTATTAAAAATAAACGTTTTTAAATCTTACTATTGTTTCATTAAAAATATATATATTTTTTTAAGATTTATATCCTGGTACAGCAAGCTCTAAATGGCGTAATCTACGAGACACTTATGTCCGAAAGTTAAGTGAGCAAAATAAATATGTTCCCAGTGGAAGTGCTGCTGAAGCCAAACCTAAATCAGTATCATGGCCATATTTTGAGTTAATGGGATTTTTACGATCAACAGTAACACGTCGAAAGTTCGTAAATATTATTATATAATTATCATTACATAACATTATCACATAATTATCAATTTAATTATTTAATATATTTTAATATATTATTTAATATGTTTAAATTTATTTTTAGGACATTTAGTAACATAAAACCACTTATACCTTCTACTAACGGGATAAAGAACAAGGATTATTGTGTTAATGTAAAAGAACCATTAAAAGATCAAAATTCTACATGTGTTACTCCATCAAATTACAGAAGCAATACTTATAAAAAAGATACTTTTTTAGAAAAAAAAAATTCTGCAACATCAAGTTCTACTACAAGTGATACAGAAATTCTAGAATTTTTTCCAAAAAGTTTTGATTCCCAAAATCAAGCTTATTCTAGATCAACAGTACCAAATTATTCATTAAAACGACAAAATATGGAATTAGAGGAAGGAATTATACCCTCAAAAAACGTACAGGGCTTAGGAACTAGCAATATAGATAAAAGAAATATTAATATACCAGGTACGATTATTTTGCATATGAAATTTGGTAATTTTACATTTCATATTTTGTATATTTGAAATATACATACATATATTTGTACACATACATGTGTACATTTAGGGTCTAGCAGGTTGCAACAATTTTTTAAATGGGTT